TCCCCTGACAATCAATTAACCAATAGTATTTTAACAGGGGCTTAATTATCATTATGAAATGGGATTAAGTATACATTTTTATATTTTATATACTTAAATGATAAATATTTAACCTATACATTCATTATTTATGTATCATCTTGATCGTAGGATTGCCAATAAAATTGAAAGAATTGATAAAATTAAACATAACATAAAATATAAATAATCAAATACAAACATTCCGGCCAACAGGCCGGGTTATAAACTAGTACACTTGTATAGCCATAACTTTCACAAAATATAGTCATAGCTATCAGAAAACACAAAATAGCCCAAAATTTGGATGGTAGTGTGACAAATCTAGTCATTTTCGTTAGAAACTCCGTCAGTTAGATTAACGTTAGGCTGACTAGGATGTCAAATTATCGTACACGTCAGCGACCAGTCGTCATATCATTAGCCATGTCATTTTGAATTATAAAAACAATCAACTTTGAAATTAAAAAAAAATTCTTTTTTTTCTTCTAATTTTCCCCTTCCCTGTGAATAGCGAATTGCATTCTCCCCCATCGCACCACTGACCCACCTCCCATCTCCATAAATCAACTGCAAACAATCCCTTGTGCTCTTGTTAGCGACCCACCTGAGCTTGGTGAGAAAGTGGAAAGCTGACCAAATCGAGTGACGGGGGAATGAATGAGAACGAGCCCAGAGTTCAAAGCCGAGATTCTTTCGAAAAAACCTAATCCCACAGAGTAACCGATAAGAAATTTCAATCACATGCTACTGTTGAGATTTTACATTTGAAGTGTGGATCTAGATGGTGAATACAGAGAGGGGAGGATGATAGCTGCAGTGGCGGTAGGGGAAGGCGAACACGCAGAGGACTCCGAACCCTTGCTTCGTCGGGATGCAGGGGAAGTTCCCTGGTAGTGCTCTTGGGTACGAGGACAGTAGGGAGTTGGTTTCGATGGGGAGGATCGATTCGCAGTGGCTCGACATGAGCAAGTCGATTTATTCGTGTAGCAATACTATAATAATGGCGACGGAGGTAATAATGACGTGGCAGCGGCGAAAAGGGAGGAGGAGTGGGAGGCACATTTGTTCGAGATTTTGTTGGAGAGTGGCGGTGGGGTGATATGATTCTAATTTGCTCAATCTACAATCCAGAATGGCTTAGACAGGAAGCAACATCACCAAGCCATAAGAACCCTAAAAATTGGCTAAAGTGTTTTATCTGTTTCAGGTTACCTACTTGGCAAGCTTGGTCGTCTCACATGGCTCAATGGAAATTCAGAGAGAAGTTCTGGAATTAAAGTTCAAGAGTGGTTCTATGTGATTGAAAGCTGGGAAGGTCATCCACAAGTCTTCAAGTTTGTTTTTCAAGTGCATTTACTTGCCATGGCAGAACCAAGATATTGGCCAAAATTGCCTAAAGTCTGGAAGTCAGTTTGGGAAGTCCGCTTAGAATCGAGTTCCAAGGTTGCAACCACACGAAAGTATGTTTCTTCTACTACGACGTAGAGGCATTGGATGATCAAAACCATATTCTCAAGGTTTCTAACGAAAGAGAGCAAGATCCTATGGAACATGTCCGAAAACTGTCTTGCAGAGTAATCCGAATCCTTCTCGGCTTAGGATTATATTTACCCTTTCCTGTTCGTATTTGATTTCCTAGTCTATTTGTGTTTAGGATTCCGTGTTGAGTTGGTTAGCTAGTCTAGGTCTATTTAAAGACGTTTCCTTGCATTGTAATAGTCAGAATGAGTTTTTTTTTTAATCAGAGTTTTCAGGTTTCACTTCACAAAGTTTGCTTCGTGAGTTGGTTGGATTTCTTTGTGGATTCCAAGTAGTTTGTGCGCTTGTATCGAACAAGTAAACACCTTGTTCGTGGCCTAGCTTCTACCTATCTATTTTGAGTCTTTCCCCGTTGTGTGTCGACCATCCATCAACCACAATTTACCCCGTGTTTTTGTTCGAGTTTGGGAATTGCGCAAGCTCAATTCATTGTTGCGCCATTCTGAAACCTGAGAACCCATCTAGGGCCTCATCAAGTGGCATCAGAGTCTTGGTTCACACAAGTGGCCAAGACGAAGGACAACGTTGAAGTATTTACATGTTGGACGAGATCAAAGGGTCCCGTTGCCAGCGACCCTACCATTCTACGCCAGAAAGAGCTTGAATCCGAAGCTTAGAGCGAAGCTTCAACCATGGCAGGCCAGCCGTTTAACATGGAGGAACTTCTAGCCCAAATTGATGCACGACTTCAGGCTCAATTATGGCAATTCCAGTGCGAGATTGACCAGAGACTTGACGCGATTGCTCTACCGGAAAATGTCGTCAGAGCAGGGGCGGTTCTTAAACAGGGAAATCCAGCTCAAAACCCAAAATTGTTGAATTGAGTCGAGGAATTGGAGCGAAGGTTGGTCATAGCAGAGCCCCATCCCGATCGACCGCAGTAAGAGCGACGTGATCACCGTGACCTACATTCACCCCCTGTTTTTGTTCGAGTTTGGGAATTGAGCAAGCTCAATTCGTTGCTGCGCCATTCTGAAACCTAAGGACCCATCTAGGGCCTCATTATAGGGAATCTCCCAAATCCGTGTTGTAGTTGTTGGTTGGTGTTTTTTAGTACATAGGGAGGGTGGGGGTTCTTGGGTTTTTGGTTTGTTACATTGATCAAAGCACATGGCATGTGGGTCTGTGCAAATTTTAAGTATGTGAGTTGACTTTAGTTTGAAGGGGTATGTAAGAGAGTGGTTTATGATTCATAATTAACCTTCTCTAAAAACTCAAGTTATTGGGAGCAACTAGTTTATGAATTTTTCCAGATTTTTTGGAGAGAGAGAGAGAGACGAAGAGATAGAGAATCTAAGGGCAATTGCGACGAGCGGCTCGCAAGGAGGAGAGAGATGCCATATCTAGCGGATCTATGCCCTTGCGAGAAGGAGGTTACGAGAGAGGATGGAACACCGTTTTGCCACATGTGCAGGGCAAAAGAGAACACAGTTGTCGTAGCGTCTTGGGAGAAGATTCATTTGAGATGTTTGTTAGAAAATAGAGGGCATACTGATGACCCCCTACATTACATCAGGAGGCCTCATCACCATATCCCTCCAGATTAGTCAAAATTTAACCCGACCTTATTGTATTAGAAGGTTTAATGATGACCCCCTCATCACACCGGGAGGAGTAGTGCAATACTTTCCCCAATTTTGGAGTGCATGTGTGATGGCATGGATGTCAAAGGCCCAAAAATAAAACATATGTGGCTTATGTTAATTGATTTTCATTGTACCCTGCTACATGATGACACCCCCTGGTCAATCGTCACTCGACAACAGCTCTGTCCTACCAGTCAATCAGAAGAGCTTCCTACTAAAAATCCGGAATTATGTGCGCGATCTGTTGAATAGACTGCAGGAACGGGGCAGGACCTGTCCTTCATCGTTATAGGTCATTAGTTGAGTTTATAAAGTGATTTAATCTTTGGTATTCAATTGATATGGCGGCAATTCTGTGGTGCCGCTACGGCACCGGTACCTCCACTTATTTATGACCGGTTCAAACAGTATATTATGGTTCAGGAAGGTGGTTGGGTTTGCAATTATTGGGTGAATCTGGACTGATTAACTAATAAATAAAACAAGAAATTAAAAGAAGATAAAAACAAGAGGCAGGGTACAGGGTTTCGTTCCTCCTTCACTCTTTTTCTTCTTTTATGATCCTTCGAACTCCATCGAATCGCAGCAGCAACCAGCAATCCACCACAATCATCGCCGTTTTCGTTGATCAACCATCACCACTATGAACCCGAACCCCACATCAGTAGAAATCACCATCTTAATCAGCCCCGTTGTTCCCGCCTGGTCATCGATTGCCTCGTCCCTGCCCCAGCAATCCACCACCAACATCGAAGTTTCCGCTAATCGGCCATCATCACCGAGAACCCTCGTCAGTCGAAATCACCACCGTCATCAGCCCTATTGCGGCCCGGTCATCGCCAACGGCGTCTCTGCCGAGGTAATCCACCACCATCATCACCGTCGTGCCGCTGGTCAGCAATCACCGACCCCCAGTCAGTTGAAATTGCCACTGTGACCAGGGGCGATATGATGATGATATTGAGAGTCTTCCTTCTAAGAGATTTTGCCTACTGCTGCAAAAAAAGAAGAAGAAAAAAGACAGAAGACAAGTGTTGTAGCTTCAAGGAACAGAGCTAATAGGGAATCAATAATCTCCATCGCCTGCATGATGCTGCTGCTACAAGAATTTGGTCAAAAAATACAAAAATCCCACTCAGAAAGCACTACATGATGATGCAGACTATAGGAATAGTGATCAGAGTGAGGTGGAGAAGATGGATTTGATTTTTCCAATAGAACAGGGGATTAGGGAGGTGAGATCTCTTTCAGAATTTGCTCTCGGTAAAATTGGGGAAAATCACGGGGAAACAATTCAATTACTTGGGTTTTGTTGAATAAACAACAGGTTCAACCAAATATAATAGGTTCAACCGATTTTGATTAAGTGGTTGTTATTAATCAACGGTCCTTATTAAATATCACAAATCCAACGCTTCAGAAACTGGCGGCACTAGTGCCGGCACTGTACCACAGAATTCGCCTTGATATGGTACAAAAGTTAATTTAATTTTTAGGCCGATAAGAGGGCGGCAATGGGAATAAGAGTTGAAAAAGCTCTTCTTGGTCAAGACAAAGCGAATGGTGAACAGATATCGAGCCAAACGGAGGAGGGGTGAGGATTCATTGGAAACGTACACAGAGATACGAAGTCCAACCGGAAATGGTATACCACTTCAATACCGAAAAATTCTGTATATGACAGACAGGCCATGCATACATAAACGAAACTAGCTTATTATTAAAGGCGCAGCCATGCATCGTTCGACTACATCAAGAAGCGGAAACAGATAAAAAAAATAACACCGGCACGAATCACTTCTCTTTTATTTATCCTCCTCCACACATTCATGCATTGTTGTGTTGGCCAATCAACTATTTTTTGTTGCAGAACTTGTAGCTCTCGAACCTCATGAAGCAGTTGTTCATGGTGACTCTCGCGCCCCACTTATCCGAACAGCTCGCCGACAGCGCAGCGAGGGCGCGTTGGATGCAGGCCGCGCAATGGGAGACGTCGTTGAAGCAGGACACGGCGCCGTATGCCCAGATATCGTGGTCGGAAGCACGGTAGCAAAGCTTCTCCCCAGGGTGCTTGATGAGGTCCGGCGTCGCGGTCACAAACTTCCTTATCAGGTTCACGAACGCGCCCGCGATGTGCGAGCCGTCCTTTATCATGTGGACGTTGCATTTTGGAACGCCTACTTCTGTCATTGTATCTGCTGCTTGCCACCTGCTGCTCTGATCAGCGCTGCTGGAGCAGCTGCAAGCCAACCAGATGAACATCGCTGCTGCTACCATCTTCACAGAACTAGATCCTCTCATCATAATCATCATCCTTCCTTTCTTATTGTTTCTTAATTGTCTGTTTGATCTTGTATGGAGTTAGTGTTAGATAGCTAGCTAGCTCGAGATTAATTTCCATCCATTGGGTTGGGGCTTCAATTATAGGACTGCATTTCTCTGTCATTGCTCATTGAAAGTATAGTGCATGCTGCCGAATTGCCGAACATGGACGGTCAAAGATCACTAACCCCAAACATGTGGTTTAATTATCATAAAAAAAACGTTTTCGTATGGTCAGTGATTTCAAGTGGTTAGTGATTTCAAATAACTATGTACCTTTTTCGTGTCTTTTACCAATATATTTGTATTTTAGTTAATAATTGTAGAATATGGTATTACTCAGCAGCAAACTTTATTTTATGTAATGAATATAACATTGCATTATGGAAATTATCAAGGTAATCGTCGATCATCTTCTACTATTCAAGAAATTTTTTTATAATTCATTTATTTTTATTCTTATTCACACCATTCGAAAATTTGGACAGTTTTACTACTATCCAAGATTTTCATTCATCATCATTCTTATTCACACCATTAGCAGTTGGATATCCACTAGGCATGGCAACAAAATCCGAACCCACGGGTACCCACCCGACCCAACCTGGTTAACGCGGATAAAACTCGTGTTGACAGGTTTTGGGCCGGGTTCGGGTTTAAACCCGCTACACTATTCACTGGGTTGGGTTGGGTTTGGGTTTAGGTAAATCCGCCCCATGGGTACCCGCCCACACATAATAATTACTTTCCCGGTATATTTAATATTCTAAATAATATATCTTCTTTAAACAACTAATATTATTTATGTTTGTGGAGACATGTATAATTTGTTCTTTCTAATTATTTAGAATGAAGTTGATATTATGGAGTGGAGAGTGAAGAAACTTATTTGATGAGGAAGAAGATTTCAATTAATCTTGTTGTTTATAGATGTTTATCTTTAATTTTGAACAATTTGTATTGCGGTTTGCTTGTATGTTCTAGATTGGTATTTTTTGTATGAATAATTTGTATGAGAAAATTGATGTTAAACTTTTATTTTGAAAAAAATTTGTTATTGTAAATTTTTTACCACAAAAACCCACGGGTACCCATGAACCCGCGGATACCCAGCAGGTTGGGTTGGGTTTGAGTTTTTCAAACCCAACGGGTTTTACCCCAGGGTTTTTTGGCGGATAAACCCATTGGTTTGGGTTTAAGTTTGACAAAACCTGCTCCAACCCGACCCATTGCCATCCCTAATATCTACTAACACTAATGTGTCCCTTGTTGGTAAGATGTTCATTGACAATTTTGCTGGCAATACACATCTACACATAATATAATACACCGAAGGGAAAAACGGGAGCCCCATTTCAAATTTCCTGCAACGAGAGTGAAAGTAGGAAGGACATTTTGGTCTTCACAATTACTTTTTTTTATTCATTAAAAAGACACGTACTGGGATTCGAACCATGTCCATTTTAAAGAAAAGCATGGAACATAACCAATCACACTAAATACATTTGTTGCATCCTTTTAAATCAAAAACATATAATAGCAGGGAGGAAAAACCCCTTCCCCCATTTCAAATTTCCTGCTCCATGAGCGTTTGTAGGAAGGGTAGAATAGGTAGTGTTAATTTTTTTCTCTTTCCTCTGTGGAACGGGCCAACTTACCGTACACATGCGGATTTAAACGGGTTCAGGAGTGTCAATTTTTTTCTTTAACCCCTTGTATTTCTCCGTGGTGATAAAATATATATGAAAAGACAAAAGCAATACTTCTTTTTATGCTAAAAATAAAAAAAATTTAACAATAAACTAATGCATGGTATCTAAAGGGCTAACCGCTAACCATAAAATAAAAGAGTTGAATGGGCCTGACCTACACCGGATTTGGCCATCAAGTAAAACAAATGAACATCATTGGTTTGACATTCTAAAACAAGCTATTTTCTCTAGCATAATATATATTATTATATTATTTTATATTTTAGTGGCTAAAATATAATGTAGTTTAAAGTTATTCAATGGTTCAATCTCGACCAACCCAATTAGTCCAATTTTTATCATTTCAAATATATATTATATAATTATTTGATATCATAATGATAAAATTATAGTGTATTTTATAGGGAATTGTTTGGTATTTGTTAGTAAAAAACTAAACAGAAAGATCTATTTGGTTATTTTAAACATTAAAACGATCCTAAACATTTTTAGTTTCTTTTGAATTTCTATGGCTTTATTCCCGAATAAGTGATGTGCAAATGGCGAATTGCAGTCATCTATTTTCTTTCACTATTTTTTATTTTCAAATAGAAAGTTTAAAAGTAACGAATAATTAGAATTTTGCATGGGTCGGTCAAACAGGCTGAATTTTAAGTTTTGGCCCGTTTTGATCAAGTCTAATTTATAATCACATGGTTCCCTGATACCCGATAAAAATCTAAATCCAAACCACTTTGGCAGGTGAGTCCGTGTTTACCACCATTCTCTAGGAATACGACAACGGTGGTTCCTTTCCCAAATCGTGTTGTTCGTTCTTGATTTCCTTAGATTTTATCATGGCCTGACAAAAACCAGAAAGCACAATGACGACAAGATGAAAGTTTTATAAATCAAATTAATGGTGTTCTCTTTCTGATCTCATGTAATTATATAATGAAGTTGAAGTTTTTCGATGCTATTCAATTTCATTGGTATGTTCTTAATGGTCTAACTTCATGGTTGTACCAACTTTTGATGTACTGTTTATGTTCCAATATATTCACTTTGGTATGATTATTAGGGATATGCTAGGCGGTACTCACCATTAGACCAATTTAGCTTAATGGTTGAATCTACGGGTTATCCCAATAATTCAATATTCGGCTCAGCTCCTCCGACCAACGAATCGGGTTACAAGCTAGTTACAATTAATATACGAAAATTACATTCCTATCTATTACGTATTCAATGATGGGGTAATATCCATGATCCTCATTGAAATTATTCTTCACGTTCTAACAACTGTCGTTGAATCAAGTTGAAGCACCACCTTCTAGGGCTCCAAAATCCCATGCCACATGTAAGCTGGATGGGTATCAGTTGTATTCGTTTAAATCAAAATGAAAATTCAGAAATCAAAATCTCGAGACAAGTATTTCCCTTGAAACTTAACCGAATCGCTAAGATACTTAACAATTTTGTTTCAAGGAACCACAAATCGAATGTACTTGGTTGTTTTCCTTTTAAATTTCCTTTCTTTTTTTGTTTGACCGTGTTTGCGGTTTCGATTTCTTAGTGTTTTTTGGTTTAAAGCAAAACCAAAACCGATAAATGCAAAGCTATTTGAGGCCGATACCAATACGAACATCTAGTCGATTCGATTTTCTTCTAAATCAAAATACCAAAACCAAACTGTCAGTCCTCCTAGTTAGCCTTCCATCGTTGTCCAGTCTCCGCTATCCGGTTGAAATTTGATCGCTAGCATGGTGATTAACTTGCCCAATCAAATTTATTAATTTTATAAAATCGTATAGAAGATTGTACCAAAAAATTTGAAATAATAGTTTAACTATTTCATATCAACTTGAAATTTTTCTATATAGTTTCCGAACCACTGATTTTAATACGACGAGATCATCATACAGGCACATTTGATGACAAAGTATCCACTCCAAGTCTTCAACACCCTGATAGATGGGCCTCTGCATTGAACCAGAGCCCATACTTGAAAAAGGGTCCTTGTAAAAAAAGTCTATTTATAGTGGATTGACGTTGACCCGTTTGGAAATTTTTGATATAGAACGTGGAATTTGGCAGCTAATGATGACACATGACAGCTTTTAATTGGGCGTATGACAATAGCAGACTGAGATCTTTCTCCCGGGGGAAAGAATCTTCAGCTTACTCCAGTAACAGTTCTACTTCTACATATATAGATGGTCAGACACTGAGAAAGGAGAATCATACGACATCGTTCAACCTTTCTCCCTCCCAGGAGAAAAGCCCGCGCAACAGTCCCCCTCTCGTCCCCGCTTCTCTTTTTATACCGTTTCCCTTTTCAAATTCCCCCGTGAGCCAGACTTCTAGGGTTCTTGGACCTCTGCTTCTACTCCTCCTCTCCCTCGTCGAAGCTTTCTTACGTCTTTCTCCCATTGATTCGCTGATCAAGTAAGAAGAGCTTCTCTTCCACTCTCTGCTTTTATCCGCTTCACCTTTCGTCCTGTCTTTCCTCCCCAGATTTCTATTTGATCTGTTTATGTGCTCTTCAAGTTATCTATTATGTTGACAAGCGATTCCGTTCTCTTCATCTTCACTGAGAAAGATCGAATTTGGTCGTTGCTAGCTAGGGTTTCGATTTCGCTATCTGATTAAGTCTTGGGGGTGTGACTCTAGGGGTTTTATTCATTGTTGAAATTCTTTTATTAGGGTTTTGATTTGGTGGAAGAAGAAAAAGAGAACAATGGGAGGAGGATTCAGGGTGCTGCATCTGGTGAGGCCGTTCCTTCCTATTTTACCTGAAGTCCAGAGTCCTGATAGGAAGATCCCCTTTCGAGAGAAGGCAACCTACACTGTGATCGCTCTGTTCATCTACCTGGTGTGCAGCCAGCTCCCGCTCTTTGGCATACACGAGACTACAGGCGCGGATCCATTCTATTGGATGCGCGTCATGCTCGCTTCCAGCCGGGGGACGGTGATGGAGCTTGGGATTACCCCGATCGTCACATCGGGAATGGTGATGCAGCTCTTGGCTGGTTCTAAGATCATTGCTGTTGACAACAGCGTGCTTGAGGATCGCGCTTTACTGTGAGTGTTCTTTAAAGAACCCTGACTTAATTGACATTGAATTTGGATAAGATTACAGTCTTATTGTTGACCAAGTTATATTTGGCACAGTTGACAGGATGTTATTGGTATGCATAAAACTCTTTTGTGAGGTTCGTAGGATCTTGAGATTCTATGATTTCAGATAAAAGACAGGCAGAATCTATAATTAGACTGCCTTAGGTGTGAATGGTGGATTAAACATGGAATGCTTGTATATCACAAGGTGCTCAATGTCTAGAGGTTATGGAATAAGGGATTTATTTGACTTTGGCCAATTTCTTGCAATGTAGTCAAAATCGCATGTCAACTCCTAAAAAATTTAGGCATTTTTTTGTTTGGTCAACTGAAAATAGTCTGATTGTAGTGTTGCTTGTGCCCTTCATCTGATAAAAATTTAGAGTTGTTGGTGACAATGGAGTTAGATGGCTGAGTTTACTGGCATCTTATCTGTGCAATGCTCTTACCTTGCACTGAATCATAGTTTTTATATGTCAGTCTTTTCATCTGATATTTTGGTTTTGTAACCAGGAATGGCGCACAAAAGCTGTTGGGGATCCTGATTGCGGTTGGTGAAGCTGTTGTATATGTGCTCTCTGGGATGTATGGAAACGTTGGTCAGTTGGGAGTTGGGAATGCGATTCTCATCATTATTCAGTTGTGCTTTGCCGGAATCATTGTCATGTGTCTGGATGAACTGCTCCAGAAAGGCTATGGTCTTAGCTCTGGGATTTCTCTTTTCATTGCTACCAACATCTGGTATGATCAATAGTTTAAATGTATTTGGATCAAATTGGTTTGTGCTTGAGGGATAGGCGGGTTGGTTGATTGCCATCCTACTATGCCTTTTTCTGATTATTGTCCTTGATTCTGCAGTGAAAACATCATCTGGAAAGCATTCAGTCCAACGACAATCAACAGCGGCCGTGGAGCTGAGTTTGAGGGCGCTGTGATTTCCTTGTTCCATCTCCTGATCATAAGGACAGACAAAATTCATGCTCTGAGAGAGGCTTTCTATAGGCAGAATCTCCCAAACGTCACCAGTTTGCTCGCGACGATCTTGATCCTCCTTCTCGTTGTCTATCTCCAAGGTTTTCGTGTCGTGTTGCCCGTGAGATCGAAGAATGCTCGTGGGCAGCAGGGCTCTTACCCGATCAAGCTTTTCTACACCTCCAACATGCCTATTATTCTCTATCATGCACTTGTTTCCAACCTTAATATCATCTCTCAGGTACTGAATTATTACAATTCATTGATTTGATCTGAAGAAATTTGATGCAATGCCTGATGATCATGCTTTCGTTGCAGTTGCTTTCCAGGAAGTACGGTGGAAACTTCGTTGTCGACTTGTTGGGACAGTGGAAGCAGTCTGAATATTCTGGCGGTCAGTTCGCTCCCGTTGGTGGTCTGGCATACTACATAACTTCACCAGCAAGGTAAAGCAGCTTGTATTTCTCTTACATTCATTGTCTGCTTTCTGTATGGTGTGTTTATGATCTTCGTACGTTGCAGCTTGGCAGATGTAGCAGCCGATCCATTCCACGCATTGTTTTATCTAGTATTTATGCTGGGAGCTTGCGCCCTGTTCTCCAAAACCTGGATTGAGGTGTCAGGGTCGTCTGCTCGCGATGTGGCCAAGCAACTTAAGGTCGAGGACGATTCAGACCAATCTTATTGATTACGTGCTGTTTTCATACCAGACCTTACTAACTGGTGTGTTCTTGTTCCTTGTTTAGGAGCAACAAATGGTGATGCCAGGACACCGGGATTCGAAACTGGAGAGGGAGCTGAACCGATATATCCCCACGGCAGCTGCCTTTGGTGGGATCTGCATCGGTGCATTGACTGTGCTGGCGGATTTGATGGGGGCAATAGGTTCTGGAACAGGGATTCTGCTGGCTGCCACCATTGTCTGCCAGCTCTATGAGACCTTCGAGAAGGAGAAGGCCCGTGAACTCGGCTTCTTTGGCTTTTGAGCGAGCTACTAGTGAGAGTGACAGACTTGAAATGTCCATATTCATCGTTATAAAGTAGTACAATTTTAACATGAAAATTTACCGGAAGAATCTGAGTGTTGACCACGATTAGTCATGCTATTGATAAATGTATGAGGATGATTAACATAATACAAAAGAAGTAACATGTATGAGGATGGACCTAATTTTAAACTAATTCAACCGACATCCAATTTAGGAGTGAATAAAAATAAACTAGCTCGAGCTTGACTCTGTAGAGCTCGATAAATGCTCATTAACATAGCTTGTCAAACTGAGTACAAGCTCAGCCAAGATGAGCTTGATTTAAAATCATTCTTGCTAAAAAAATGTGTAAACATAAGAATTTAAATGATAGAAAGAACACTAAAAACTATAAATAACATCTAAATTTCATACACATTTGTATTAACAAGATAATGTTCATGTTTAAAACAGTAATTCATCCTTCCACAAGTAGTTTTAAACAAGGCAGCTCGCGAGCTTAGCTCAACAAGCCACTGAATCAAGCTAGCTCGGAGCTTATCAAGCTGAGCATGGTCTAGCTCAAGCTTGGCTCGTTAACTAGCGAGTTGGCTAGCGAGCTGGCTTGTTAAATAACGAGTCAAGTGTCGAATGAGTTTTTTCCGATTCGAACGCCGAGTTGCTCGCGAGCGGCTTGGCTCATTTACAGCCCTACTCACAACGTTCCAATATTCGTCTCTGGGTAGGTTAGTGATTATATTAAAGATAAGTAGGGTATGAAATAGGAATAAGTTGAATACTAAACTTCTCAAACTAGTACCTTATAATTAAAAAAAAAAACGCATTTATTGCAAGGTTGGTCACTAGGATTACAAAAAACGTTCATGCGTGGTCATTAGAAATATTTAATTCCATTCGTGGTCACTAAAATATGTTAAATAGTTTAAGTTTGGTCACTCTCCGTCCAACTCCGTTAACTTTGGCTTATGTGGCAGTCAACTCCTATAATCAACCGTTAAATATGCCTCGTGGCAATTAAAAAATTAATTGAAAATTAAAAATTAATATTCTAAATTTCCACCTCATTATTACAATTATTAAAAATAAAAATAGAAAAATAACTAATTTATTTTCTTCCAGTCCCATGCCCGGCTCAACCTCAAATCTCCATCCCCTGCTTCACTCCCGCTGGCCACCTGATCACCCACAAAATCTCCATTAGAAACCCTCCCAAATCAAAGAAAACCCAAAACCTCCCAAATCTCATTCCAAACATTCAGTCACCAATAGACCCTCCCCATGCCCTGCTTCACTCCCTTGTGGAACTGCGCCGCCGAGCTCAAGCTCCTCTTGACCGCCCTCCTCATCCTCTGCTCCGTCGCCACCGTCCTCCAGTTTCTCCTTTCCCGCTTCACCATCTCCACCTCCGATCTATGCTTCTGTATCTCCCGAATCACCACCACTACCACCACCATCTCCTCCACCATCACCGCCGACGCCGCCCTCGCCTCTCTCAACTCTCCCACCGCTGCCACTCCCTTCTCCCGCTTCCCCGTCTCCCCTCTCTGTCGACAAGGATAAGGTGCTCGAGAACGATGTAATCAAGCGGGTATTCAACCTGTACGGCTCCGCCGCCTACAATTTCATCACAATGGGGACTTACAAAGGCCGGCTTCCCAAAACCCATAAAAAAATAACCAAACCACTTCTTTAGATCTATTCCAAGGTTGTAAACCCGCGGGTTGACCCGTACTCGGTCGAGCTAGTGGGTCATGGGTTAATGGGTCACCTGTTGTAGCTCGGTTTAACCCGGATATATAGAAACAGTCATTATAGTTTACTTGTCCTAAATCCAACCTAGTAAAAATTTAACACTAGTTAAAATTCAATACACTTAAATTATTCATATAACATAAACTTAAATCCAACATAATAAAAAAATTAACAATGAAAAGGAAAATCAAAGCATAATCAGAAAGCTAATAATAATTCTTTCAATATGATTTTGACGAAACAGACAAAACCATCCCCAAATTTTTGCAATTAATTGAAAACCCTTACAGGTGGGTACCGTTCAATCCTCCTCACCACTGCCCCGGCCTTCCCATCTCTTTCGAACCCACCGCTTAATTCACAAACTCTCTCCCAAATCTCCACCGGCACCGCCACGAAAGATGAAACCCAACATCGTCTTTCATCTCTTTCAGGTCCATCGGCCTCCTTATCTCCCCGGCGACCTTCACGTCCACCATTTCTTCGCATGTAGTCGCTTCGTGCCACTCTTTGGCCACCATGACGACGCCGACCACTTGACGGGCGCGAGCACCAGAGTGGTAGAAGAAACAGAGGTCGCCAATTCGTTTCTAGAGGCCAAAATTGATTTAGGGTTTCGATTTCTAGTGCTCTGCTCGTTGCTACAATCTCCAGGTGAAATCCCAGCCAGGGGAACCGACGCCGCACCCAGAGGCATAGCGAGAAACGGCGTCCCACGAGGAGAAGCCCACTGACTCGCTCCAACGGGCCAACCGCCCGGGTTTCATCGGGTTTGACCAAATCCAGGCTGACACTCAAATGGGTGGTTGTAACCCGTTGGTATAGGCGGGTCAGGGTCAACCCGCTGTTTACCCATAAAAAATTAGCTTGTACCACATCGAATAACTACAAGATAATTAAAGAATTTATAAGGCAAGCTCAACATTAATAATTAAAAGAGCTAGCTGGGCCTTGTTAGTTTGGGTTTTGGGCCCTAAGTGAACAAACCCCTTCTCCAATATATGATGGCCGACATGTCTCCTTGGCCCCCATAGCCGAACGATGCCTCCACCCCTTATATGAAATTTGGCTCCCAAAAACTAAGTCTTGGAAACAAGGCGACGCAACGGGGTGCCAAACGACCGGGTACCAAGCCGGGTACCAAATAGTAGGTCATCCAAAAACTAAGTCTTGGAAACAAGGCGACACAACGGGGTGCCAAAAGACCGGGTACCAAGCCGGGTACCAAATAGGAGGCCATCCAAAAACTAAATCTTAGAAACAAGGCGACGCAACGGGGTGCCAAACGACCGGGTACCAAGCCGGGTACCAAATAGGAGGTCATCCAAAAACTAAGTCTTGGAAACAAGGCGACACAACGGGGTGCCAAAAGACCGGGTACCAAGCCGGGTACCAAATAGAAGGCCATCCAAAAACTAAATCTTAGAAACAAGGCGATGCAACGGGGTGCCAAACGATCGGGTGCCAAGCTGGGTACCAAATAGGAGGCCATCCAAAAACTAAGTCTTGGAAACAAGGCGATGTAACGGGGTGCCAAACGACCAGGGTCAACGACGGGGTATCAAGCTGGCAAAGCAGGCTTGGTACTTTGACATAGAATTTGGCTAAGTATAAAGCGAAAGGGGTATCAAGCCAACAAGGCAGGCTTGATACCAAAAGATATGAAAATTGGCTAACTATGGAGCTAAGGTGGTACTAGGCGGGCAAGGAAGCCTCGCTACCAAGACCCCTACAAGGTACCAAGCTGGCATGACAGGCTTGGCTGCCAAGTAAGGGCGACAAGGTACCCTAACCACAAGGGGGTATCAAGCCGATAAAACGGACTTGATAGCCAGACATCAGGGTATCAAGCCAACAAGACAAGAAATTTGACTAAGGCATGGCGACTAGCTGAGGTGGCCACCCAACTAGGTATCAAACAACGAGTCCCAAGATGGGCATGTTGGCCCACTAACGGGGTACCAAGTTGGTCGAGTGCAAGATACCAATATGAGATTCTAAAAACTAAGTATCGATATGGCAAGACTGTCCGGGTAGCAAGGGCCGATAAGACGCGCTTACAAGTGGTCCCATGACAGTCTCTCTAAGACTAAGTGTGGAAACTTGGTGGGTGAAGGGGCCAAGTTCTCATCCTGTCTAGGTGGGTAATATGGCTTAGCTATCAAGACGGTTCGAGGTGGCTACCAAGATGAGAGTGTGGATTCGTCAAGGCTGATGTGATCAAGACTTCATCATGGAGGCTAAGGCAAAGAGGCTCAACCCTATCTAGTCATGACAAGGGCCCCCAAGGCGATGGCTACCAACTAGTCACCAAGGCGGCGAAAAGCAGTGGCGGAGGGAGGTGGAAGGGAGTGGGGTCCTAGGACCCCACTTGGATAAATTAAAATGGTTGAATGTATGTACATACTTGTTTAATTTGAGTAGATTTAGAATTTAGGACCCCATCCATATGGAATTTAATTGTCCTAGTATTATGAAGCACACAAATAAATTACACTATATTGGTCATATATTATTGAAAATTCCCAAATTTATAGTCCTTATTGTAAAAATTTCTAATTCTACTAAATAAGTGTACAAAAACCTCCAGCTATATCTAAAAAGCTCTTAGTTCAACAAATTTTTTCTATTAATATACAATTTCTTTGTCATCAAATGTGTTTAAAAAACGTTTGTGTGTATTAGATTTTGCTTGGTGACTATTTATTTTAGCTAGTTATTGAAATGTCACTTTTCAATTGTGAGTTACACAAAATGTAAGTTAAAAATCTTATAACTAATGGTTTGATGAATGACTACTTGACTTAATATTTTTAAGAAAATTTACTTAATAATTGAGTACAACGTTATAATTTTTTTTCCATAAATGGGACCCCACTAAACTTGAACGCTGGCTACGCCACTGGAGAAAAGGGACCCCGAGGCGGTTTGGAGCAAGAGGCCAGCCAAGCCACCAAGGCTGTTACGCCTAGTGGCTATAATAGAAGAAACGAAGAAGAAGCAAGGGTTCCACAACCAAACATTTGTCGCACAATGTCAAAATTTATCTTTTCTCTGCAACATACCTTTTAGTTTTCGGACCTCTCACTGAACCTCCATAGGAGTAGGTGTAATTAGCTTACTTTTGTTCCCAAAAAAACCAACAAAAACATCAAACACCCTCGTTCGAACATTGTTCGGAGAGGAGTGGCCCGTGTTCATTTTCGTTTCTCAAGAAGTCAAAGGTGCATTCATTGTGTTCAAACACCAGATTTTCCTCGTCGGAAAACAAATTGGCACACCTGGTGGGACAACTGTCTGTTTGATTTGAAGGCTCCTAGGCGAAAGAACCAGGAAAGTGATGCTCCGCCAGGGTTTGTGGAGGAGCAAGTGGCCAACATTGAACATGGCCAGTTAGCTGAAGCGGTTTCCGGTGACAATGACGGCGGGGAAGCCTTGCCGCCTCCCGCACCAAGCTCGAACGTTGATGTAGTTGCTGCAATTGGGTCACTTTGCCAATTCATGGAGGAAGCTTTGGCTGACAACACTCTTCAGGTAAATTTTCAACTTGATTGTCTTAACTCCTGTGTAGATAGGCGTTAAAGTCAACTTTTTGAAATCGTAACTAAAAATAGGAATTATTTTGATGAGTTTAGGAGAATTTTGACCACACCAGTG